GGTAGCTAGATGGTGCAGTGAATAGAGCACTGGCCCTGGCGTCAGGAGGACCTGAGGTCAAATCTGGCCTCAGACACATAACACTCACTAGCTGTGTCACTCTAGGCAAGTCACTTAACCCCAATTGCCTCACCAAAAAAAACCCCCCAAAACCAAAAACCAAACAAAATGGTTGGATCAGTTCACAAGTCTACCAATAATGCATTAGTGTCTCAATTTTCCCACATCTTCTCCAACATTTATCATTGTCCTGTTTTGTCATGTTAGCCAATCTGATAGGTGTGATGTGGTACCTCAGATTCATTTTGATTTGCATTTCTCTAATCAATAGTGATTTAGAGCATTTTTTTTTCATATGACTATAGATAGCTTTAATTTCTTCATCTGAAAACTGCCTGTTCATATCCTTTGACCATTTATCAATTGGGGAGTGACTTGTATTCTTATAAATTTGATTTAGTCCTCTATATATTTTAGAAATGAGGCCCTTATCAGAGACTGGTTGTAAAAATTCTTTCCCAGTTTTCTCCTTCCCTCCTAATCTTGGTTGCATTGGCTTCATCTGTGCAAAAACTTTTCAATTTAATGTTATCAAAATTATCCATTTTGCATTTCATAATGTTCTCTATGTCTTGTTGGTCATAAATTCTTCTGTTCTCCATAGATCTGACAGGTAAACTCTTCTATGCTCTCCCAGTTTGCTTATAGTATCAGCCTTTATATCTAAATCCTGAGCTTATTTTAAACACTGATATACAAACTGGGATTCTTCATTCTGAAGAGAAGTTACTGGTTCCTCTCTCCAGCCCCACCCATATAAAGAATTTTGAAATGAGAAATAAGTTTGAATAAAAAAAATAACCTTACCATGTCCCAATCCTTTTTTTAGTTACAAGTAGGGAGAAAATGAAGGAAACAAAATAGATAAAATAGCATCAGGTAGAGAAAATCCACTTTCTTTGCTTGAAACCAAAACTTACGGCAGTGACATTGAGGCTCTTTGAGGAGCAAGGAGAAGTGATCTGTAGCTCCCTCCGAGTTGTCTCTCTGGGGCACACTAAAGCCCTGTGGAGGTACTGACTATTTCATGCTTAGTTTGAAGCCTTCACCTAAGGAGAAGACCAAGGTGTTAGGAAAGGCAGGAGACTCATAATTGTACATGAGTCACTTGAAGACTACTCTGGTCACTTGGAAATTTTGACCTCTCTTCTCTGGCTAACACCTCCATTGTAACTAAATGACTTGAACCATCCTAGCGATCCTGGGACACAATGCTTCCTCTCCCAACTAAACACTGTGACAGGGACAAAAGGGCAATAGGTTACCACTTACAGTTTCAATCTGTCATCTCTCCAGCTATATAGAAGCACTCCCTTCCCTGGCAACTTTCTTCTATCTAGGGACTAATGGTACTGGGTAGGATAGTGCTGGGGGAAGACTAGAATTTCCATGGTAAATTCTTAATAAGTAACTAGAGATTTGGTGCTCCCATAGAAAGGCACAAGACATTTGGCTTTTTTTTCAGTGTGTGAGAAATGAGTAACTTTAAATAAAGAAAAAATATCTTTTGGTTAAAGTCTTTTATAAGAGACCCAGGTCATCACCGAACCAGAATGGGAGCAGTAATCAGAGCTGCCACTTGCTCTTCTTTCCATGTCTTAAGTAGAAAGCTGGGGTTTTCCTTCAAGGATACGATTATTAACTACTTCGGCTCATGGTGGAAGTTAGGAAGGCATCTCTGCTGGCTGGCAGTGTATCTGCAGGCTTTTCCACTGAGGCAGCAGAACAAAGGAGGGGCTGTCCACAGGAGAGAGGGCATCTGTTCTATACCTAACCACAGCAGCCCCATCCCGAGAGATTCCATCCAGCCCCTGGTCTGCTGGTCACACAACAGGGTTAGAGGTGGATCAGCAGGAGGGAACCAGCGCATGTGAAACCCTAAGACTTGGGTCAGAACAGAGGGCACACAGTTGGCCTCACTCAGGCAAGGTCCAAAAGGTTTACAGGCAGCAATGCTCAGTCCTGTGAACAGTGCTTCCCTCTTACTTCCAAGTCTGTCTCTGAGGGTAGACAGGGAATGAGATGAGTTTGCTGTGGAGTGACTTTCTGCATTTCTTCCTGGGCTTGTCAAAGAACATGGATCCAGTCAAAACTGGGCTAAGTTGTGCAGATGCCAAATCAGTAAGCAGGAGTCAGCTTGGCCAGAAACAAGCAGGTGGAGTGGTTAGATGCAATTTTTTCCCCCAAGTATGCTACTAAGGGGTAGGGACAAAAGGCCTCTAAACAACTGTCTCTGCAGCATGAGATTTCCTTTCTGATTTCCACTGGTTCCTCCTACACAGCACACCCCCTTCACCTCTCCTCTCTTCTGCCTCGTTTTATGCCAGTCCCTGGGACCAAAAGGCACTGGGGAGTTTCCTCAACCCTGAATGTTTTAGCAGTAAGGTCAATCCCCAACTTAAACTGGCAGGCATAGAGAACTTGAGAGCTCCTTCCTCCTGCGGCAGGGGTGAGGAATCTGCGGCCTCAAGCCCACATGTGGCCTCCAGGCCACAGGTCCCCCACCCCTGGAAGCCATAGGCAAGCCACTGTGACCTTTGTCAGCCTGTTTCTTCACACATTACCCATTGGGCTAAATGTTCAGCTTTAAAAACTTATGGGACCTTACATATGAGGATATGGTCAAACTTAGACCTTCAATTAGAGGGTGGTTCAACAGACACTTGTGAGTGAACTGTCAGGTTGTTTTGGGCAGTAGGCCAGTGGTAAAGTGAAATGTTGGAGTGAAAAGGTTTGTTAGGGAAGGGGGTGGGGCTGGCAAGAAAGGTCAGAGTAAGCCCATTCACCTGGATTCAGGTCAAGCAAAATGGTGGCTTCCCACCCTACATTAGACACCATTAAACCCAATTCCTAGTTCCTCTCTGAACTAGGAATTTGTTACTGGCTAACAGAGTAACAGTCATATACAGCAATTGTATTACACAGTCCTCAGTATTAAAGTTGTCTTCCACTGGGAATATGTTCATTAAATTTTAGTGATGTCAGCACCCAATATTTTAGTAAGCTTGGTGTCAGTCTAGTCTGTTTAAGCATCTAAAGCAACAAAAGGTATCATACCCCATAACGGCAAAGATATATTTTTATTTTTCAGTGGCAAAAGATTTATGAAACTTGCTGACTTAAAAATACTTCCCATCTATTTTAAGCACTGTAAAGTTCTATGTTGCTATATTTATTCCTCAGTTAACAAAAGAAGAAAAGCCAGTCATAATTTAAAAAAAAAAATTTCTTTCCAAAGCTCATGAAAGATACTGGCACAAATATCTCAGAGACTTATATGCTGTATAATCAAGACGTCTAAACTGTTACCCATACCATAATGCCACATTGTATTCTTTAGAGACTATAAGAGGACTATCTTTGACTCTCTTCAAGTCTTGTTTACTTAAACTGTCTGCAGAAATATCATAGTTGTTGTCTTGATATGGCATGTGCACATACCTTGGGACCCAGACACAGATTAACTTCTAACTCATTCAATAGGTTCAAGGTAAGGTTTCTGGTCAATGAGAAGGAAAAACCTTCAATCAATGCTTTCAGTGCTTGGAAAGTCGTTTACTTTTTAAAACAGAATGAGATCTTCCAAGGGAAGGGAAATGGGCACCTTTTATGAAAAGGATTTGCACACTCCTTGAGCCCACAGAGGAATTAGACAACACATCTGTAGCTTTCCCACATAATGCAAGACTTATAACCTAAACTCAAGAAGCTAAGAAGAAAAGAATAAGTTTAAAGCACCCATCGAACATATCCTAGGGAGGATGGCAACAATATTAATACCATCAGACCTACTAATGAGTTTGTGTTTAATCTACTTGGTTAGATCTCTGTTTCATTAGGCTGGGATCTACTAGGTTTCTTTCTCTGGTCTAGTGCAAACTCAATTATAGGAAAAACAGTAGAGATCCTGTCGAACAGCCAAGAGCAATCCTGGCACTCCACAGGGGCCCCCAAGATGGGAAGAGAAAACCACACTGGGGATGTCTTCCTTGGAGGATGGGTATGGGGAAGGGATGGTTCTGAGCAGATGGGTATCACAAAGGCTCCATATCCGTGTATAGCAGTCCTGCCCCACTGAAAAGAGAAAAAAGGACTGGTTAATGATGAGATGCTGAGCAGGTGTACTTTAACTTCTTCAAGATTCTCTAGCACTAGCATATACATGTGAAAGAGTGTAAATAACACAAAAAATATTATGATTTTTAAACAATGTTCTAATATAAGTATATTGTAAGGTACCCAAAGTGATAATATACATGTCTCTGATAACCCTGTAGTTCAGCAGACTTTGAGAAGCTTGGCAAACTAATGTAGACCACTAGACTTTTCTGAGTCGCCTAGACTTGCTCTCTTTCCTCTGGGCCAAGGATCTGGTATCTTAGGTGAGAGGAGGGGGTATAGAAGTACACAAGGGAACAATCCAATCAGGGTATAGGTGGAGAGGAGTTCATACCAGCAACCCCCTGGCCTTCCCTTCTTTATCTGATTTACAATTCCTCCTCAAAATTTGAAGGGTGGGTCAGTTTCATTTCTTGGACTTAGGAAAATAAACAAAATGGAACATTTTGGAGACTTTTTCCACCACTGCATATATATCTCTAATTGCAAACCAGCTAATTCTCCCTGAAGCCTTGTTTCAAAAAAGGGCTCAGTTTATGTCTCCAGGGCTCACAGTTCTTGAGGAATGTGTTATATTTGTTAGGCAAGTATAGAAAAACTGGACATCCTGCAATGTGCACACTATTTGGATGTCTTAAGAGGAAATACATTTGGAAGATAAGCACAGTGGTAGCTTACCATATTACAAGAGGTTAGAGCCTTGAATCTGGTTTTATATACATACTATCTGGAAACCCTGTCCATTAGGATTTATTTATCAGAAAGAACTTGCTTTAGAATATGGACTCATGAAGATTATGTTAGCAGCAAGGGTCCAGGGTACACTTAAGTTATTAAACTTTTCAAAATATCTTTTGGTAGCTGTAGGGAGCAAGTAGCATTTTTTTGGGGTGGAGTGCGGTGGTGGTGAATCCCACAGTAGAGTACACCATGGGTGACAGCCTTGAGTCAGGCAGATAGCAAATCCAAGTCTGTCATCTTTAGTCTTGTTCTACCCATCTCATGTTGCTATTTTGTATAACAAGGTTTGCACAAAATCTTCACTATTTTTAATCTTTTTCTTCATTACTGAAAATGTGCCTTATGTCCATCATGACTTTTTCTCCAGTTTGTCCTGGTCAAGCTGGTCACCCAACCAATGGCCCTTGGCTCTTCATCACTGATGTGTTGTCTACAGCTAACCAGTGGAGATTACATGAAAAAATCATACAATAGAACAGAATCTCACATAATAAATCCTACATAATGTTCCAGGATAACTTGAAGTTAAAGGGCTGGTCTGTTTTCAGTTGACTCCCAGTATATAAATGTGTCTTTACCACATACCTGCTATCAGAAGTCCTTCTTCCTCATGTACATGCAGGGGCAGGTAGGCATATTCATTATTGTGACCCTCATATTGTTTCACACACTTATTTGCTCTCAGGTCCCATAGCTTGATCTGTGAGTTAAGGTCATAAGGAGAAAGTCATAAGAAAGTACCTACTTTAAGAGGAATATTAGTTAAAGAGCTAGAAGCTAGAATCAGACTACAAGCTTACCTTAAGAGAGTAAAACAAAAAGCCATATTCATGTTGAGCAAGGCACAGTCAATGCCAGAGTACTTGGGGCCTACTGATTCTCACTCTCCAGTCCCCAAGCTCCTCTTCCTCCTATCTCTCTCTAAACTCTAGGAAGCATAGTCATGCTCATCTCTACCTGGGGTGGAGCAGCAAAGCAAGGCCCCTGAAGCTCAGCTGATTAGGTTTCTTCTGCTTCCTAAAGACCCACCATATCATGGCTTTCTAACAGATCTCTTTTTCCTTCACAAGCAATCTGTCCCAAGTCTAAAGATGGAAATAAGGTGGTCTCCTTTTTCTAAGTGGTTACCCCCTGTGCCTGGGGTCTGACCAGGGTCAAGATTGGGCCTTAGACACATTAACTGTGTGACCCTAGGGAAATCAATGAACTTTGGCTTCAGTTTCCTCATCTGTGAAATGGGGATAATATCTACAATACTGTAAGAAAGTGCTTTGCAAACTTGAAAGTACTATAAAGTTTACAGTACTACATAAATGTCAGGTATTACCGTTTTCTTTGGAGCATGGCACTTCTAGTAAAGCCCTTCTACCTGGGTCCCTCAGGATCTCAATCGTCCAGCAGAGGCTTGAGAAAAGTCAGCTTTGCTTTTGTACCTTCCCGGACATATCTGCTGCCATCAGGTGCTGCTCATCTTGTAGGACCCGGACAGATGTCACAGCTGAGTCGTGGAACAAGCGGGCAGCTTTCCAGCCATGGCCTTTACGACTTCGGTGACGCAAATCGATGGCAAAGATCTCACCGGAGCGGCAGCCACTGAACAGGAGAGGGGCCTACGCAGAGAGAGAAGGAGCGTCTATGCTGAGCCATCGCAGGAACATCTATCGCCTGGTAGTAAAGGAACCGCAGCCACCACCCAATTCCCATGTACATTCACAAATTCAGGGCATGTACGTATGTATGTGTGTGTGCATGCGTGTGTGTGTGTGTTCGCACACATAAGCAAGGATTTCAGATCAACTGATTAGGCTCCCAAAGTGAGGGTCACCTTAAAGAAACCCAGATGTTTCCATACACATGAAACCTCAGGAGGAAAAGTGCAAATCTCTCCAACCAGACCTGACCCTGCATAGCCCATGCCCTCTGGTCTCACTTGAGAACAGTGTGCCATGGCCCACTTCAACACTGCTGTTTCCAATAGGTCCTTTAGTCTATCATACCTTTAGGTACAAGCTTGGGGGTGGGAAGGAGTAGGAACACTTGAGGATGGGGCAATGGATATGCAGTATTAGAGAGGATAATGGTTCCATTACACCACAGGAACCTAACTGGGGGATGAGGAAGAGTTGTTGAGATACTTTTCTTATTGCTCTCAAAACAGTGCAGATGAATCTCAGAGGTATTTTCACTATATAGTAATTCCACCATTTTCTCATAGACAGAGGTCAGAAATAGTCAAAACCATGAGTGATGACTTCTAAATTTAAAAACAGACAAGCTTAAGTAGTTTATTAATGTTCTTAATTTACAAGTTTTTCCAATTATTTGTGCTGCTATATAATCTATGTATCTATTCAGTTCAGCCATAAACAAGAATTTACTGAGAGCCACACTTCACTAAGTGATGTTACACCACCAGTAAGCCAGATTTGATTAAGTATGCACATCTTTTACAAAGTTAATCTGCTAATACTTGAGTTATTTTAGAATTCCCTATAAAATGGGGAGTAGTGGTAGAGGGTGTACAGGGGACCATGATCATCTTTTCCTGGGTTTTAGTTAACTACCACCTGAACTCTTGATTAGACCTTTTCTTTCTTTAATTTACAATTCTCAATTCTCTCATCCCTCTCTCCCCTACCCACTGAGAAGGAAAGACAAAAAAGTCCATTACAAATATGAATAATCCAAAAAAAAAAAAAAAGAAAAAAGAAAGAAAAAAAGAAGAAAAAAGATGCTTCAATCTGCACTTGATTAAATCACTTTTTTAGTCTCAACCAACCTGGGTGGCAAACTGTTGTGCCAGTACATCACTGTTGGTCCCAAATGTCTGCCGATGACCAGTCACTGCATTGGTTACAAGGACCCTTCTGGACAAGCCTAAGGGGACATACACACAAGTGATCTTTGGGACCCTTCCACAAGTTCAGGCTAGTGAAAGGTGAGGACAGGGAGGGATTCAGCCTTCTACTAAATCATTCCCTTATTGTAGGTTTTAAGGAGCAGGTCACAGGTCACAGCTCACCTGTACTGAAGCAATTATTAGCCTGAGGGTTCAGGCACCATGCACAAGACCAGGCAGTGGAGATCTTAAAACTGCAAAGCATGCCAGGCTGGTCTCCTGCTGCATTTAAAAAGTTTAAAAAAAAAAAAAAGGAAAATAATTTGTGAGAGTCTTTTTAGGTAGGCAAACATAAAATAACATGTTAGCAGAATTCTGTATTTCCACTGCAGTACCTATATCATGTTGTCACATTTCCCACATATCCAGGAAACTTCAGAGATTAGCAACTACTATCCATAAATTATGCTGTGCCAGGTTTTCTTGTGGCTAGGAATAGAACCTTTCTGCATCTATGTCTTGGGAAACCTGCAAATATATTCACATATGGGTGGAGTCCATGCCAATTTTTCTGAATGCACAGTTTTAGAAGGGGAATTGGAAGGTTTATTCCCAGTTTCCTTATCTCTGATTCACAGAATGTTTGGAAAAACAAATAAAACAATAATAGTTAACATTTATAAAGCACTTAGTATGTGCCAGGCCCTATGCAAAGTGCTTTATAGGTACTACCTCATTTATCCTCAGAACAACCCGGGGAGATGAGTGCTATCATCTCTATTTTATAGATAAGGAAACTGAAGGAAAGAGAGGTTAAGTGACATACAGCTAGTGTCTGAGGCCACATTTGAATTCAGGTCTTCCTGACTCTAGGCTTAGTGCTCTATCCATTGTGCTAACTTGCTACCCCTAATAACTTCCTAGAAGGAGGCAGGAGTGCTTTCAGGATTAAATGCTTTCAAAAAGGCAGCCTATACTTATGTTTTGTTTTCTTGTACAGGTCACTCAAGACCACCTTTCCTTGGAATTCTGATGTTCCCACTAATAAGATTAGGAGGACAGGATTTACCTTTAGGTCCAGTAGGACTAATTTTGAGACAAGCTTAGGCAATCCCCACTTAAGGATTAATGTATCTGGAAACAACCATAACACTATCAGCTTTGTCTCTAGGGGGTTGGACAGCCTGTGTTTGACTCCCAGCAGTAAACCAAGCTTACTTAGGCCTTGGGGTTTTGTTGTTAAACCTCTGCTAGGCCCAAACATCGGGTACATCTCAAGGAAAAAGTTGAGACACTTTGTTGGTCTTAGCTTCTATGAAACGTAGAAGTGTGAACAAGACTACCGATCAAAGGATAAATCAGAGCCCAAACCTCAGTATTTTTAAAAGCATAAGAAAGGACCTCAAAGATTAACTGGTCCAACCTTTTAATTTTACAGATGAGAAAGGGCAATTCAATTCCACAAATGTTTACTAAATACCTGCTATGGGTAAGACAGACAGAAATAAAGGCTGAGACACATCAAAGGCATGGGTCTATTGAACTGCACACTTGTGATTAGAATCTATGTTTCCTGTGAGGCAATATGATACAATGGAAAATAGTGGATCTGGAGCCAAAGGACTTGGGTTGTGAATCTGCTCCCTATCTGTGTGAGCTTGGGCAAGTCCCTTAATCTCTGGGCCTCAGTTTGCTCATCTGTAAAATGAGGAGGACTGGACTAGATGAGTCTTAATCCTATGATTCTCTACTTCATCCACTGTGGTTCTAGCCCTACTAAAATATGAACCCACTCAAATCAAATGGGCACTGTACCTGGCCTGGTGTTGCTGAACAAGGAGGCAGGAAGTAAACTGGCACAGCCTGGAGTCTCTGCAATGCCCATGAGACACAGCCTGAAGAATGACATTAAGGATAACAGGAGGAAGAAGGAATCTCTTTTGGGAAAGAATGGGGATGAATGTATTTTTCTACACTGAATCATGAAGCCTCTGAACCTATAAATTTTTCACACAGTCACCTATAGCTAATTGATCAAGAACATGTTTCTCCCTTTTCCTAATTAGTAGAAAAAAGCAGGGGTAGCTAGGTGCACAGTGTATAGAATGCCAAGCCTGGACCCTCAGACACTTACTAGCTAAGTGACTATGGGCAACTCATTTCACCCTGTTTGCCTCAGTTTCTTCATATGTAAAATGAGCTGGAGAAAGAAATGGCAAACCACCTTAGTATCTTTGCCAAAAAAACAAACAAACCCAAAAAACACCAAATGGGGTCACAGAGTCAGACAGGACTGAACAGACAAAAGCAACTGTTTGCAGTCACCTCTGTTTAAAAAAATTTTTTCTTTCTAAATGAAGATTTGCCTTCTCTCCTACTCAGCTCTCTTTGATCCCTGATAGAGAAAGAAAAAGAAAATCCCCATTGCAAACACATATAGTCAAGCAAAACAAATTCCCACATTGGTCATGTCCAAAACAGAACTATGCCTCAATATGCACTGAATCCTTTACCAGGAGGAAGGAAGGCTTTTTATCTTAAGTCCTCTGAAGCTGTGGCTATTCACTGTCAGCCAACTATACCTAAACTCACCAGCCTGATTTGTATTAAGACCCAAGGATACAAGAAAATTGAATGTTTCACAAAGGCCAGTAACTCTATCTTGATTTCTTTTGGGCTTTAGGAAGATGTAAGTTTGAATAATTAAATCAATGGCACCAAGTGTGACAGACTGAGAAACCTTCACCTAAATAACATAACTGGGTATTTCTCTTGGATGATGGTTAAGTATAGCCTAGTAAATGCCATTTTTTTTTTTTTTTACTTCCACCATGGTTACATGCTTTAAGGGTAGCAAACAATGTTATCAACAAAAATTTTTTTTAAGGCAAGATCTTACAAAAAGACGAATACTAAACTTAGCAATAGCCAGGCATACCTAGATATGTGATACGTATGTCACATTGCCTTACGTGTTAAGTGTTATGAGATGAAAACCTATTAGGTACTTATTTCAGAGACTGAGATAAATATGAACAAGCAGCTGAATATCCTGTAGCTAGCTGGTCATGTAAGTTATATATAAATCTTGTTCTAGTGTATAGAGTGCAAGAACTTGGAAGAAAACTCTTACCTGTCGTCTGTTTCATGTAGCTGGCCTTTTAGAACACATAATTTGGTTAGAGCATGATTTTCATGAGGCTAAAGGGTGTGGGTTTAATCTCCTCCATATAGCTCAGCACAGTAACTGCAATTAGCTGTGCTCACAAGTATTTGTGAAAGGTGGTAGTGGGGGTTCAAGATCAGACTGCTAAGTAGAAAACTATCCGTGCTATTTGCAAAAGAACTTAAAGGGCACACACGGATGATATATCCGAAGTATCATTTTTGTAGCCAAGATGACTTCACATGACATTCTGCTGAAACAGAAGGTGTACCTAAAACTACCACCAGAGGATACTGGGAGACTAACCATCGCAGTGGAAGGTAAAGGATGGGAAGGAACATCAGCATAAGTATGTCTGATTCCATTAAAGCCTAATACAGATCATATGTCACTTTCATAAAAAAGAAAGCATCTTAAATGAAATTGAGAGGTTGGGTTTTTTTCTTTTTGCTCTGCAAAGATCTTCCCTTCTATATAAATAATTTTTTTCACGAGAATGGGTAAATTTCACAATAGAAGAGCACACTTGTATAAAAAGGTGGGTCTTGCTTTAAAGAAAGCCTCTCTACATAAAACAGAATTTGCACAAAAAATACATTGGGATTTTTTTTGTTTAAAAAGAGGAATTATAATTGGATTTCTCTAAATTCTAATCTAAAGTAAATCTAAAGCAGGGTTGATTTATAAAAGTACATTCATACAACATATTTAACAACACTTCTACTATATAAAGGGAGTAACAGACCTGACTCATTATGTGACTGGATATATCACAGATCAAAACTTTGTCCTGTGAAATGTCACTACAGAATATAATCTATAATATGTGCTAGTCCTGTTCCAGAAAGCATTTTTAAAAAAAGGTTCTAAGCACTTTATTATGTCCTCTGCAAAGGTTCCCACTGCTACTTCCACGTAGGAAGGGAAACACACAGAACAAGAGTCCCTTCAAAATAATGTTGCTCCATGGTATAAACAGGAAGGTATCAATTTGTTGATCATACAAAAATAATGGAAATTAAGTCAGGTGTTCATTATAGTGAATAGTCTTTTTCCTACTACCAAAAGCCACTATACCAAGTATCACAATAGCAGAGAATGTGAGCTGAACTTCCCGGCTGTTTGTTTCAGTCGTGTCTGACTCTTTGTGACCCCATCTAGGGTTTTCTTGGCAAAGTTACTGGAGGGGTTTGCCACTTTCTTCTCCAGCTCATTTTACAGATGAGGCAACTGAGGCAAACAGGGTTAAGTGACTTGCTCAGGATCACACAGTTAAGTATCTGAGGCCACATCTGAATTCAGGTCTTCCTGACTCCAGGCCCTGCACTCTATTCACTTTGCAACCTACCAGCTATCTCAGTCCAACCAGTACTGGAACATGACAATACTCTCCTTCCCAACATTCACAAGTAGTTAGCCAAGTAGTCATATATACACCAAGTGAGGAGAAAATAATGATCTCCCAAGGAAATCAACTGGGGGACAGCTGTGTTGGCAAGTTTTTTTTCTTTATATCAAGTCTTAATCTGCAATATACTGCTGTTCCTAATTCTGACCCCTGTTGTTATTTTTCACTTTTCTCGTTGGTTCCCCTAACCCTGGGGGGAGGGCAGCTGCCTTGAACCTTACTTAAAAGACATCTCTTTTGTTGAAACTCCTGGGGGCAGGGGCAAAGGAAATGGAAGGTATAAAAGCTATGGAAGGGAAGATGCTAGGGAGTTGTCTTAAAGGAAGCTGAAGATCACGCAGAATGAGTGTGATAAGGCACCTCTTTATGAAAAACAAATCCTCCATGTCAAGATTAGCTCCCTTTGTCATTTTCAGTGTTAATTACCTGTTTCTCTATGCAGGCTTTGATGCTTTTATCAGTTTTCTTTTTAATTCTAAACAAATAAAAGCCTTCTTGGATATTTATACTCATTTCTCAGGGTACAAAATCTTCCTGGGAAATAGTACCTAGCTTGCTTGCTCCTTCTTATACTCGGTGAGAATTTTCTTGCTCTGAGTTCTATTTAGATGCACCCTTCTCTCCTAAGAGGTGGGATGTCTGTGCGTTGGCTTAAGCTCCTCCAGTCAGCCTCCTATTTAGGCACCAACAGCCTCACAGATGCTCTGTGTTTGTGACAAAGGGCAGCCTGCCACCCAAACTCCTTCACTTGCTGAAGGATACAAAACATGGGAATCTGGATGAGTCAGTGAGGCCCAGCATACAGAATTTACCTGGTAAGGAAGCACACAGCAAGAAGGAAAAATCAGTTATGGTAGGGGCATGTTTCCTAAAGTCTCAGAAACAGGGACATGTTTTGCTTGTCTTCTCCCTCTGAGCTGGTTATATTCCATGTGGCTTTATGACACAGGAAAGGCCCCAATGATTTTAACTACCAGTCAGAGATGAGTTCTCAAGCTTTATGCAGCTTTTATGTTTGTTGAAACAACAGAATATAGTAATCCCAATAGTTATTTATGAGTAAGGTTATTGATCCCACCTTTTGCTTTCACATGTGGGCTCAGTGTTGGATTGACAGCCAACTGGTCTAGAGAGTAAAATCATTTGTGTCCTCTCCCCAGTAAATATCAGTAAAGCAGGCTATCTCCCTATGATACTTTTCCCTTAACACTTCAAAGAGGGAAAAGATCAGGGTGGCTTTTAAGCTATATATAATTCTTTAGTTTTGAATGGGGGAAAAAAAATCACCATCAGATGCTTTGAACATAACCTGAGCACTGTATTGCTGCATGTTACTTCACTAGAATAACAAGTGAAGAAAGAAAGAAAAAGAGCAACAAAATTTCTCAGGACAGGTAAACTATAGGGAGACAACATATTTCAAATAATTCTCAAACTTAATTTATTCCACATACTACCAAAAAGGGGGTGGGGGGGAGGGTAACGTGTGTGGGGAGAGTCCACAGTTTTATTGATAGTACTCAGGAAGCTACAGCAGCAAAGTTTAAAGCTCAGCTTTCTACCTTAGTCTTACAGAAAAACCATGAAAAGAGAAGGCTCATTATTCTACTGCAAATGACTCATCTCTTCCCCTATCCTCACAGCTCCACAACTCTGAGACCCCTTTGAATAACCCTCCTCTTCCTCTCCCCCTCACACCTCACCCTCTGTGGCTCTTAAACCTAGTCTGGGAAAGACTGCCTTGCATCTACCTGAGAAAGCAGTCATTTTTCTCTCCCTAAGCCATCACCTGCTGAGGCTGCTTCTCCACAATGCAGTTCCTCAGGATCTCAGAGTCCCTTGGAACAAAAAATTAGACCAGTGAGTCCTGTACCTTCCCTTATTCTCTTCCATCATCTTTATACCCCAACTTCTCTTTGGCCCCTCCAAGTGCCAGGAACCACTTATTTAAATCCAAACTGGGATATGGAATTACTAGAGGGAAAATGGGGAAAGGAAAGGTCGTACAGCTGTTAAGAGATGTCAATGACCTACCTTGCGATTGGTAAAGTAGAAGTTGTCATACATTTCCACAGTGAGAGCCTTGGTTCCTAAACCACTAAGGTTGATGATGCCATACTTGCAGCCTCCATGCTCCACATCATTAACTGTGAATACCCTCTCCCGGGCAGTGTCAGCCTGCCAAAGTAAACCACATACCACACTGAAGTATGAGTTAGGGTCAGCTGTGAGGGTCATGACTAAGCAACAGCTAACTTTTCTCTGGTCCACTGCTCCTTTACTTTTTCTAGCAGGAATACTGTCAGCTAACTCTAAGAGCAGAAATTGCTTGGACCCTCCCCTCACCACGCCCCATCTTTGGGGCAATGCTGACAACTGCCTGATCTAGTAGTTCCACTTAGAATGGAAAGTAAGGACATCACACAAAGGGAACATGTATTGGAGGTAATGCTACCAGGGAAACTGAGGTCAGTACTTGAATCAGAACTGGGTCGAGAGACAATAGTGTGGCTGCTTCAACTTCTGTAAAAAGTGTGCCTCAGGAAGAAGGATTACTAGTGGTTGGGATCTGATCTCAACTCAAAAATGGGACCTCTGGTGACAAACAGCTATACCTAAACCTCTTCTTTGTCACTAAGTTTAAAGGAAGGTACGATCTACAGAATTACTAGCATTTCTGATGAAAAGTCACAGAGCAACCCTTCAACTCAGAACTCTGCCAAGCAGGTTTGTGTAATTTGAGGCACTTGCTCAAGGAAGGTAGGTCTGCCTACCACACAAGGCAAGCAGCAGAGATGACTTTTCTATACCATACTTGACCTGGTTTAATTGAAGAATATCAGAATGGGGTATCCTGGATTTTAGCTTAGATCCTAGTGTAGCAGGAGCAAGACTGAGAATAATTCATGTCTCTTACCCCCCCCCCCAAAACAATGACATGATTACAACAGTCTTTTAAAAGCTTTAGTCCTGACACCAGTTTCCCTAGAGGCATCACCTCCAACAAATATAAAATCCTCCACTGTATTAAGTTCCCTGTGAGGGAACAGGCATTGACCCCATGGGGTTATTCCCTACTCAAGTCCATCCCTCCCACTAGAAGAGTTCTCTCTCCTTAATCATCCAAGCCTATCCTCTCTGCTGCTGTCTTCTTTTTCTTTTCACAGCTACCCTTTAGTAAAAAGGAACAAAAGGGAGGACGTGGGTTTGGATGGCTCCACTTTGTAAGTATAAACAAGTACTTTTTACCCTCCCCCGTGTTCTTTCAATAGTCTCCAGAGCTACCTAGGACCAAAAGGCTGCTATATTCTTTCTAGGAGTATATGTATATTATAGGGGTGAAGTAGTATAGGAAATGGTCTCAAATCATAGGGAGAAGGATTCTTTCTACAAGGCAAAGGAAATGGGGGTATGCTTCAGAAAATGAATGCCTCTGTGAACACAGATCACGCAAATTACATTTCCTAGAATCTCTTGGTTCCTGATGCACACGAGCTCCAAATTTGGCCACCTTTATCTTGAAACAGGCATATAATTCACCATCCAATTGAGGAACATAACACCTCAAAGGAAAAAGAATATATTATGCTTAGTTGGTCTTTACGCATGTAGGGGCCCTAATGCAAACTGATGGAGCAGAAGGGATGGGTGGGTTCATGGTCACAGTACATTCTACCCTGCCAGGATAGCACCTGCCATTTTACATACAGCAGGTACTTAAAATAACAATAAAGTTACTATTTTTATTATATTATTAATATATATTATTATTTATAATAAAAGCCACCCATTTCTGTGGCAGTTTGAAGCCAAAGTTAAAAACTAACATATTATATCTAGTTCATAGACCACCCCAGAAGATCCCTGCTACCCAATCACAAGAAACAAATAAGGGCTGACCCGGGGAGTGTCGTGGCATAGCTAATCCTTATCCTCAAACATCTCCAACTCACCACTATGAGTTTAAAGTGATCAGTTCCAACAACAGAGGAATCAGGGCTCTGAATTTCCACCTTCTTTCTCTGCATGCAGTTTACATGTAACTCATGGACTAATCTGTAGGGGGTAAACAGGGAGAGGGGCAGTAATGACTAAGAGGTGAAGAAAATTCAAGATGTGGGAAAGAATACATAGAGCATGAGAAAAATCTCTATTATTTGTTCCTTTCCATACTGTTCTTTAAGATTTAGGGGCAGCTAGGTGGCACAGTGGATAGAGCACCTGCCCTGAAGTCAGGAGGACCTGAGTTCAAATCCGGCCTCAGACCAAACACTTGTCACTAACTCGCTATGTGACCCCGGGCAAGTCACTTAACCCCAATTGCCTTAAAAAAAAAAAAAGCTTTAAAGGCAAGATTCTAAATACCTGGGCTCTAATAATTTTCATTCCACAGATATTTAGGCAACTTCCTTTTATACGGCACTGGGCTTAGGCACTGGGAGATATAAAGTTTAACTTTCCAAGATTGGTAAAAAGATCGAACATATTAAAAGGGATTTGGATGTTAAGAAGAAACCTCCAAGAGCTCTGAATCCTAACCCCAGTACTGCCTGTATACCTTAATCAAAACCTTGAAGACACCCTTCCCCATTCAAAGAAAAAGTTCCTACTCTCATCTCTGGCATTGGGTGATTTTCTTTTGTCTAGAGACATACCTACCTGCTTTTGAGCTAAAGCAAGCACATTTATACCACCAAAATTACCCTTTACTACTCCCTTGGGGACTTTTCTGAGTCCTTTATTGTTCAGAAGATTGGGAGATCTGAATCATGAAGCTGAAGTAGGAAAAGTTGTTTTTCCTAAGTGGTCTCTTCTCTTATCTCTTTAATTGAACCTCCTTTCATGGAAAAGTTACTGGAAGAGGGATAAAACACAAACAACTGCTTGTAGCAGTGAGAAAGCTGTAGGACAATGTTATATGGAGTCTGAGCAGAAGGCCACAGTAGTTCAGGGGAGATTCAGGAAGGCTGTGTAGCCTTTCCATTGTGTAATGGAAACAATGGTTTAACTGGGCTTTAATGGATGAACAGTTCTTCAGCAAGTGAAGCAGGGTGGTGGAACAAGAGGTAGGATCAAGGCACATGTTGCTGCTAGAAGGTATTTCAGAAACTGAGATCTAGTGTGGTGAAGCAACTTGATGAAGGTCACAAAGGTTAAAAAAAAAAATCAAGCATTTATTAAGCTCCTCCTACGTGTCAGACAACACTGCCAGGTGTTGGCAATATGAAGACAAAAGGAAAACAGTCAAGCAGCTGGAACTTAGAGCCTAGCCGGAGGAGACCACACTCATGTATCTAAGTGTATACAAATACATACAATGCCCTGCAGACAACAGTAAAGGCTTTCTGTAGAAGGCTGTACTTCAGCTGAGCACTGAAAGAAATCAAGAATTTTTTATCATCAGCTACAGATTTCTTTATTTTAAACTTGCTGATCAAACTTTCAGTTATAATATATGTGGCAAAAAAACAAAAACAAAAGAAAACAGAAAGATCATTAAAACACAATATCTGCCACAAGAAATTAAGAATTTTAAGAGACAGGGGAGAAGGGAGTGCACTGTGGGCATGAAGAATGGTGCGCGCAAAAAGGAACAGGTGGGAAACAGAGTGAATAAAGAACAGGTCAGTTTGGCTGGGGACAGTGTGGAAAGTAGGCTGGGATGAGGGGGCAGGAGGAAGGGCTTTGAAATGACATAGAGAAGCAAAAGAGAGCCACTGGAATTTACCGAGAAGGGAAATGACAAGGCCAGACCTTTGATTTAGGAAGAAGACTGGCAGTCACACGGAGGACGGACTGGAGTAAGGAGAGGCTTGAGGCAGGGAGGCCACCGGAATTGTTCAGGTGAGAGGTGATGAGGGCCTGAACTAGGACTGTTTATGTGTGAGACACGTCGTAGAGATCTGGCAACTGATCAGACACAGGAGTGGGGTTGGGGAGAGAGAAGGTGTGTGCAAGTGAGGAGCTACAGATGACAGTAAAGTGGAGAACCAGGGATCACAAAGACAGCAGTGCCCTGGACAGGAAGAGGAAGCTGAGGAGAGGTGGGTTTGGGGGGAAAGCCGAGCTCAAATTTAGACATGGTGAGTCTGAGATGCCTACTAAAGGAGATCCAGTTTGAAATGTTCTCTAGGCATCTGGTTATGCAGGGCTTAGAAACTCAGGAGAACTGGGACTCATCTGCACAGACATTATAACAGAACCCATGTGTGTGACAAGGTCACCAAGAGGGAATGTGAAGAGGTGAGAAAGAGAGGAGGACCAAGGATAAACCTCTTGGGGCAAGGCCTAGACTAGGGTCTTTCAATTCTCAATTCAGTTTTCTTTCTGCCATACCACAGCTGGCTATTTTTCACTGGTTCCAAGATTACAAGCCTTTTTTTTAATAATGAAGGGCAGAACTCTAAAATTTGGGCTTGAAAATTTTCTCCTGGTATCACCACCCAGAGTTAATAAGCCAAGGGCTTATTATACAAAATTTTATTTGCACAAAATTCCAATTGGTATAACTGGCACAGGTATTTAAAACATTTAAAACAGCCTACCTTAATGAGAGTATTTTTCACCTCTTCCATCAGAAAGGGACTACAAACCTCCACAACTTTCTCATAGTACACTGCCCTCCCAACTTGTACTTAGAACTAAGCTATTAGGGAAAACGTGATTTGAGCACGTATCCTCACCCCACGTATTGGATTGTAAGCTTTTTGAGGCTAGGTGATTGGGTCATATCTTTGTCTCCCCTGTGCCTTTGAGTACCTTGCGCAAAAATGGTATTTAGCAAGGAAAGTGTATCCCTAAATTTTTTAAGCTTAAATAGCTTAAAACTACACTAAAACTTTGGGGATACTTTGTATTTGTTTAATTGAATCACAAGTAGAGGGACTGACTCAATTGTAAAGCATCTCAAATGATGCTCTTCCTCACTCTCTCATGTAGAAAGGCTGAAAAGAGTGCTGATAATATCCTAATTCTAGAATATCTTTTTAGTGTATCACTTCTAGAAAGATAAACTTATTTTTAATACTGCAAACTGGTAAAGAGAATACCCGGAGAGTAGGGGGAGAAAAAATTCATTGTAATGAAGTTCTAGGATTTGCCAATTTCACTAAAATATGAATGATTTATCAGTACATAAATTATTTAACAGTAATACACAGACTGGCCTCCTGAAATAAAAGATTTTTGTTTTCATCCATGTTTAATTTCTTTGCACTCTCTCCTTTCTCCATTCCCCTCATGCAAGGATACTCTCCAGTCTCCAAAAAAGAAATAACTCCCTTGGACTGACTTAAGCACTCAAAGTGAAGGCACTTGTGAAGGATCCTCACACAGTTATCATCTGGAAAGGTTTGTTTTGAAATAAAGATAATGGAAGAATCAGAGTTGGAAAGGACTTCAGAGATAACATGGTCTAACCTTTGTGCCATTAAAGGAAACTGAAGAAACAACCCAAAGAGGCATGTCTTACCGGCAATAATTGGTAGAGTAGAGCAAACCCAACTGCCTCTTGTTCAACAAGGGTAATGGATTTAATCCAATTCTGGTTGTTTTCTAAGGGAAAAAAAAAAGAGACAGAATTTGATGAAATTTTATCCAGCATAGAGGTGAAGGGAGACTATTTTCTTTGTTCTTTTAAAAATTTTTAATTAATTTTTAGTTTTCAACATTCACTTCCATAAGTTTTTGAGTTTTAAATTTTCTCCCCTTCCTCCCTTCTTTTCCCCAAGATGACATGCAATCTGATATAGGGTCTACTTATACATTTATATCAAGCATATTTTCACGTTAGTCATTATGTATAGAAGAATTAGGACGAATGGGAGGAACCACAAGAATGAAGCAATAAAACAAAACAACAAAAGAAAAAGAGAGCAAACAGTATGCTTCCATCTGCATTCAGACTCCATAGTTCTTTCTCTGGATGTGGATAGTATTTTCCAACATGAGTCTTTTGGAGTGATCTTAGATCCTTGCATTGCTGAGAAGAGCTAAGTCTATCAAAGTTAGTCATTGCACAACA